ATGGAGCATGCACACCTCAGCAAAGAGCAGTACGAGCCTCCGTGGCCCCTGCCCCCAAAAGAGGTGAGAAAGAGGCAGAAAACTGTAGAAACTTCCTCAATATTTCATGTCTTGACCTGAATTTTACATTGTTTTTACAAAATTTGGATTTATTTAAACATCACAGGCAGAGAATTCACTGGAAAAAATATTTTTTGAAACTGTCATGGTAAAAGGCAGAAAGACTTTAGCTCTTCTGCTTCTTCCAGTGCTAACTAGAAACAACCAATCAGAGCCTGTAGGCGGGGCTTAGCGCTGTTAGTCAAGCTCGTGTCCTCGCCCCTCGTTGGTTTGGCCACCATTGAGAAATCAATCACTTTATTTGTGTAGCGGATTTCAGCAGCAGGTGGTTCAAGAAGTTTTACGTTATAGAAATACAGAATTACAGATTTAAAAAGAAAAAATCTCAAACTTTACATTTTGATCACCGCAGGAAACTGTTTATTTTATAGCAGCGCGTTCATGGAGGTGATTGACAGCACTAAGATCCTCCCCCTGGCTCTGATTGGTTGGTTTTGACCGGGAGCCGTGCATTTCGTCAGACAGCAACAGCAGTTTGATCTTTTCTCAGATTGTCTGACTCATACGGTGACGACATAATGACAGTTTTCACAAATATAGAAAAGAAAACCATATTTTTTTTAAAAAATATATGTTTTTTTAAAAAAAAAACCATATTTTCTGATTGCTGCTTTAACTGTTCGGTTAACGCTGTCCATAAGGTTGCATTTGTGAGGTCAGACACTGATGTAGTCTCGTTGCAAGTGTGTTTGTCAGGCTTAGATGTGCCATGAAAACTGTTAAAACACCTGACTTCATGATGTTGATGAGAAAATGAAACGTGTTTGACCACTGCGTGTCTTAACCTCTTGCTTTGCTCAGTTGATGCAGGTCTTTGATTCATTTGACGGACGAAATGAAAATGTTTGCCAGGTGACGGACAGAGAGATGCAGGACTTCTCTCAGTCTCAGCTCATGGATCAAGGATCAATGCATAATTCTGGCATCGACATTCCCAAGAGGAAGGACAAGGAGGACTTGACAGAAAGTTCGGAGGTACAAAACCGTCGCTGCTCGCTCATAAAAACAGGAGTTAAGTGTTTACTGTGGAGTTGTTCTGTTTTTCTTGATATTAATACAATGCAGCCATTGAAGGGATAAAACACAAATATAAAACGCTGTTTTACAAACCAATAATTTACGTATCGGCTTGTCCTATAAATCTTTAATTTCTTCTTCGCATTTTACATTCTGAGTATGAAGTAAAAATAACGTAATATATCCAGGTCTTTTTGTCTCACTGTACGATCCTTCAGTAAATACAGTGGGAAGAAGAAATGCCCAATTGATGAAAAGAAACTGAAATTAAGCAGCACATTGTAAAAAAATGCAAAATATAATGTTAGTAGTTTTGGTTTAGTTTATAGTGCAAATATCTTAGTGCACTTGAAATAAGAAAAAACTAACTTTTTAGCTAAATCTAGAAGATTGTTTCCAGAAAATAAGTGAAAAGTTACTTGCAAGTTAATTTGTTTTATTCCACGTGAACTAAGATATTTACACCAGAAATTCAACAAAAATTACTTGGTGGGATTTTTGTGTTTTTGCAGTGCAGAGATGTTAAGTGTGATATAATAGAAAATATAATAATTGTGGTATTTAATTTTGCGCTGAATAAATGCACTGAAGTTGAAGCTGGTATTCTAAATCTTTGAAGGTGAAATAATGCTTCATTTATCTTTTTGTTCCGTTTGCACATCTGAGCAATGCGTTTCAGTGACTGAGTTTCTTTATCCTTCATTAGGACTCGATGGGCGGCTCTCCCAATGACATCCGCATCTCCGACATGAGGCCAACGCTGGTGGAGCCACCGATGTACAAACCAAAGGTGGTGCTGCTGGGGAAGGATAAGAAAGGTACTGCATCACGCAGAGAGATGCAATCACAAAGCCGCAAATGATAACCTGATGGTTTTATTTTTAGGAACTGTGAGGCGTGTTGCAATGGTGTCCATCAATTAGTCACAATGTGAGGCAGATTAACTGCAACACATCACAGAGAGAGAGATTCAATGAACCTCTAAATGCACCTCTCCGTCTGTTTGCCCTGTTTGAATTTTCTTGCATCTGAAGGAAACAAATCTAATTAAAAAAATAAAAAAAAAAATGAGCTAGCTCTAAATTATTTATTTAGCGCTTTAATTACTTCTTCCAAGGAAGAGTTAATTTCTCTTTCTGCTCCATAATGTCATCTGCTTTGCTTCATATTTGGTTTCTATGTCCATCTGCAGCGGCTCAGTCTTAATTTATTCAAATTTACAGCTGTGAAAACGTCCCTTGAAGGGGACATACGATGATAGATTTACGTTTTGTTCTTCCATTTGCGTTTTTGCTGCTTCCGAAAACAGTTAAAAAAAGCAAATTTTTGGCAGTAACTCCATGTGTTTTGGTTTCTGAATGATGAGCTGTTTCAAAAACTTCCTGTATCAACAGGCACCTCCCCTCACCTAAAATATCCAGAATTACTCAAGTAAAAAGTAAAAAAGTATTCGGCAAAAAAGTTTACTTGAGTAGAGAGTAACTAATCAAATTATCAATCATTTAATTTTAAAATCCAAAATATAAAATTAGGTGATTTTGTTTTTTTAAGGACCAAAATGACAATAATTCGTAAAATTAACACACACAAAAACAAGAAAAATTTCCAAATCAGTTTCTTTTAATAAAAAAAAAGAATAAACTTGAACACAAACTGCAGGTGTTCAAATAAATCTTTAACTTATTCATCCAGTGGATATAAAATCCAGAAATTTTACTCAAGTTAGCGATACTTCATAGAAAATTAACCAAGTAAAAGTAAAACGTACAGCACAGTAAAAATACTTTTTCCAAAATGGTCCCTCAAGTAAATGTAACTAGTTGCTACCAAACTGCAGTAAAATCTACCAAAATGCGACCTTGAGTAGCACAAAGCTATTCATCCTGTCATTGAAAGTGTTGTTTAGTTATTTTACAAAGAGACGTTTGTTCTTGTAGAGTCGACAGACGAGGAGGTCGATAAGCTCCACTGTCTGAACCACAGCGGCTCCTCGGCCACCTACTCCGACTACTCACCCTCGCAGGGCTCCTCGGGCTCCTCCAACCCGTCCGCCAACACACACTCACACACACACACTCATGCACACGCACACCCTCCCGCCCTGCCCGCCCCCAGTAAGGACCAGGCCCCTCAAACACACTGGACCAACAGGTAAATACGCCGGCTTCATGTTCCACGGCAAAAACAAAACATCTTATGGAGTGATTGTTCGTCTCGTTGCTGGAGACGAATCATCTTGGTTCACTTGAAATAAGACAAAAATAACTCAAGTATATTTTTGAGTGAATATTTGCTTAATATTGATGATAAAATACTAGCTGCCCTGGCAGATTATTGCATTTTTAAATGGGGAAAATGTCTTGTTGGAAGCAGTGGCGTCACTAGATCTATTTTATGGGGGCCCGAGCCCCATAAAATATTTCAATCCCCCTTGAATAATTTGGTGTTTTTCTTGTTGCCGCTATATTTTTAAATTTGATATAATGTTGCCAGAATATCAATTTAAAATGTTGTTTTTAAACTAAATATGATCATAAATATGTCAATTTCCCTTTACTTTATATTAAAATAGTCTGGAAAATATAACTGCACTTACTTAGAAGGTGAACAACATTTACATGTTAGCAACTTTTGCTTGGAAATCATCTAATACTGATTAACTATTTATAATCATATTTCATAGCATTTGTAGAGTTTTCTCTTACTCTAAATACTATTTTAACAGTAGCAAAGCAATTTCTTTGTTTTTGTTAGTTTCTGTTTGAGAAACTTTGTCCTCGCCTGTTCATCTCCTGGGGACGAAGCCCCCCTGGTGCTTAAAACCTAGTGACACCCCTGTGAAATAATTCGCCATTTTCATTGATATTTAAGAATTATTTATTTAAAACAAGCTCATATATCTTGTTAAAAAGTCACTTGTAAGTTAGTTTTTTCTTATTTCAAGTGTTTTAGACTTGACCGATACTTGGTCAAATTGTGTGTTTTTACAGTGTATGTTCTCATCTGTTATCAAGTTTTTTCCTCCATCTTTTCATATCTCACCCATCTATCAACTCGCTCCATCTTTTCCCTGCTCCCTCCATCTTTGTGCAACCTTCTCGTCTATCTGTTTGCTCGCGAAGGTCAGAGAGTCTTGCTAAGATGCTGCAGATTGCCGTTCAGTTTGTTCTTTCTCCGGTTTGAAGAGGCTTCCTGTGTGGGCTCCACTGTTTGGAGGCGCGTTGCTTTTTGCACAGAGAGATGAAAAGAACCAATTAAAGAGGCACGGTTCCTCTGCGGAGGGTATTGCACATTAATGATATAAGCTGACGTATGTGGAAATGAGAATCGCATTAAAAATTTATGTCAAAGCGTGTTTTGAATCTGGTTTCTGTCTCGCAGTAATGAACAGCACTAAAACATGTAATCTTAGATTGCAAGCCAAATCTGCTGCATTATAGCCTCAGGCATGATGATTAGTTTTTATTGAAGTCAGACTGTGTTACTGACAAATAATTTTCAATAAATTACCTGTTTGTTGAATATATCAGGTAGCAGTTACAGTCAAAATACATAATAAATAGAAAATCTTTTCGTTTTTAAGTGAAAGTCAGCCTTTATGTTTTTAGGGAATGTTTTGTGCTAAAACCTTGGAACATTTTTAGTATCTACGGTTAATCTGTGTTTTTATGGAGGACTGAGAAACTTCACAAATAAACATATGCAGATACAAAATGTGTGAAATCCCTGAAAAATTGCATTTTTGCATCTAATAATCCTCTGTTAGTATTCAGATTTTTCTGGCTCTTCATCTTGAAAAGCTCCTGCACTAGAAACATACATCCTCTCACTTTCCCATTCTTTCTATCCCACTTTCACGTTGACATTTTTTCAGCATTATATTAGTTATTTCACAAAGTCTGTTCAGATCTCAGTCTGTTTTCTGTTTTTTTTATTTATTTGCCTGCGTCCTCGTGAAACATATTTGTTTACAAAGATGCAAATGACAGTGAAAAGAGTTTGAAGGCTCTTGCATTTGGCATCCGTCCTCTTAGAAACATAATTACTCCAAACATGGTTCTTTGCCCAGTTGATGTTTAGGAGGAACATCAGAGATGGAGAGAAAGTCGTTCTGTTCCGAGTGCCAGTGGGTCGGACTGCACAGCACGTGTTCATGATTGCACTGACTATAGCATGAAACAGTTCAGTTTGTTCCCTTTATAAGCATCTCCTCATATGTTTTATTTTCGTAGACTTGCACAGTCTTTCCCAAAGCCTATTGACTCCAAGCCCCTGCTGTCTCAGAGAGAAACCCCTCCATCGGGAACGCTGCAGCAACGGGGAGATCGGCGTCCACTCAGCGAGCCTTTTGATTGGTCGGAGGCCCAGCACTATGACAACACGGGTTTTGACGCCGAGGAGTCCCCGATGGACCCGACGTCCTCTAATACAAGTCAGGGTAATCCGCCGCTGGGCTCCAAACCCCGCAGCCAGTCGGCTCACGGTCGCCGGCCCCTCCTCAGGCAAGATCGAATCGTCGGAGTCCCCTTGGAGCTGGACACCCAGACACTCCCCTACCACAGTAACCAGCGCTCCACCCCGGATAACGACCCGCAATCTGGACCTTCCTCCCAAAACCCCTGGCAGAATTGGACCAGGACGCCCAGCCCATTGGAGGACAGGACTGCTTTCCCCTCAAAGCTGGACCTGACGCCAACCTCAAGCCCCAATCCTGACCGCAAGGACTTGGACTCAAGGTGAGCGACTGGAGATGCTGGCGGTTAATACAACTAATTAAATTAAAATTAGTTCCAATCGATTATCTGACAACTTCTACTTCGGCAAAAGCTTCTCAAACGTTTTCAAGTTGAGGAATACTTAACCTGTTTAATAACACTCACTGACCACCTAACTTCAAATTACCCTGCAACAACACAACATCTTAATATATACAGCCTAAAATTATAATATTAATCTCTTAACTCACTTATTGTGTTCAGGTAAATTGTTTATCTGTTGTTTTTGAGGATTACAGGCAAGAAAAGTTTTTCTTATCAGTTAATCGTTAGTCGATTGAAAAATATTAGTCAAGTTTAGAATATCTCATTAATGAGTAACTTACTATTATTAATCGAAAATAAACAGTTTGAATGCGATGCAACACCTCACAGAGGTTGTGCCTGTTTGTTTATTTTCTCTGATGTAATTCCCTGGAGGGTTTTTTACTTGCAGAATGGAGCAGGGCTCAGGACCTTTGCCCGGATCCTGGACGTATCACAACAGCCAGGGGGAGCAGATCAGGAAGGATCAGCTCACCGTTGGCGGGGGAAACAAGGTCACAGTGGTGATGAGTAAAAGCTCCGACCGACTTTCCCCCATGATGAAGGAGACCAGATCCAAGTTTAAGAAGTCCCAGAGCATTGATGAGATCGACATTGGCTCCTATAAAGTCTACAGGTAAGTTCAGCACGCACATGTAGTCTGTAAGTAATATCTCCTTTTTGTTTTGAAATGATACTGAATGTAGATCAAGTTGAGTTTCTTCCTGTAGAAACATGATACGTTCACTGATCAGAAAAAGATGGGATCTTTGAGTTTATTTTCATCTTTCTTCCCAGCATTCCTATGGAAAGCTACAGTTCATCCATCGAGCAGCAGACCAGTTTGGACCGCCCAGAGCTCCCTGGTTCCATGGAGCAGACCAGCATGTCACGGTCTCAGTCTGCCCCCATGTTGGACGATGAGCTGGGCTTCCCAGGACACGGAGGCGGCAACCAGAACCAGTCTGGACAAAATCAAAAACCTGCCATTCCTCACAAGGCCTATCATTTTGACCAGAACTACAACCCCCAGGTCGGAAATGCATTTATATAAATAAATATAGATATATTTATTCAACCCAGTTGACAAAATGAAGCCTGGAGATGTAAATTAATAATTCAATAATTAATGAGTAATCATCTGAACACAGCAGTGGTGGATTAGCTAATTTAAACTCCTGTTCTACTGATAATCTGTCAGAGTTGGTGTGATGATTGCCTTTTAAAAAAAATAAATAAAATAAATTAAGTGAAGCGAAACGCTCCGAATTCTGCAGCACATCTGCATGTTAAGATTGTCATAGTCAAGCTAGCATAGCTGACCGACTTCTCTCTCCCTTGCTATTTTTTAAGTTAAAAAGGTGAAATGTGACGCCTTGGAGCTCATCTAGTTATCATATTGTTGACAATTAGGAGGAAATCACCACATCTCTTTTTCCTATAGATGTCACACATACAGTTAAGATTTAGCTCATAATGTTGACAGATTTACCAATGTTAGTCATCATTGCCTCCAGCAGAAAACCAAGGGGTGGGATGACGTCACGTTGCAACGTAGTTCAAAATGTTTTTAAGAAATGCGGCATTTTGGGGCTAAATTCAGACAATTTTCAAATACTGAGCTTAGTGTGTCGACACTAATGCCTGAAACCTTTCCACTGACTCATTGAAGAACTTTCTACCCAATCAGGTGACCATAGATCGCAGGATCCCTCCTCCATTCCCCAACACACCAGATTATGTAAACCACTCCTCAAAGGCCATGGATTACTTGAGTCAACCTGGAAAGACGCTACCCAAGGAGCTTGTGAGTCCTCGGTATCGCGCGTATCCACCGCTGGAGATGTTTTCGTTCCCCCAAGCCCCAATCAACCAGGACGGCCCGTCCAGCCAGCAGCAGCAAACCATCTCAACTCAGCGCTCCAGGCCAGGCTTTCTGAGGCGAGCCGACTCTCTGGTGAGCTCCACTGAGCTTGCCTTGTTTCGTAGAGTTCACGAAGCCCAGCAGGAGGCGCTACAGGAAGCTCAATACAAGCATCAGGTATGAGCCAGTAAAAAAACAAAATCTTCCAAATTCATCGCATAACATATGCAACATCAAAAATGTGTTTATGTTAATCCACACAACACATATTCTGCTATAAATACATGAAAGCAATTACAGTAATCAAACCTCATCTGTTAATCTTGCTGCGCTGAAGTATTTTTTCAAATTGTGATAGCGTTTTTATGACATTCTAATTATTACAGTTTTTTTCTTTTATACTGTTCATAAAGTGTGCACTGCAAAAACGCAACATCTTACCGAGTAATTTTGGTCTAATTTCTAATGCAGAGATCATAGTTTATTTGAAATAAGACAAAACAAACTTATAACAGGATGTTTCTCTGCCAGTGGACCTTTTCACCAATATTGAGGTTTCAAAACTAGCTTTTTTTTATCTTGCTGAATAGTTGCTTATAAGTTTGTTTTGTGTTATTTTAAGTGTAGTAAAATATTTGCATTAGAACCTAAATCAAAAATATTCTCCAAGATTTTGTGTTTTTACAGTGTATTTTGAGAAAATCAAGTCTTTTTTCTTTATATTTCTGACTATTCCGTGAAAACTACAATCACTTTTGTGTTTTGATTCCAATGGATTTAAAATACAGCAGTAAAATAAAATAATTCAAATCAATGTGCACCAAATTAGCAAAATTTACATCTTTTGACAGTTTGTGATGTATGACAGTGTATGAATCTCACTGCACATAGAAAAAAATTAGGAAATTTCTAATAAAAATCTCAGAAATATTCTAGAACAAACTTGGAAATTTCTGAGCTTAAAGTCAAAAATTTGTGAAAAAAAAAATTATTGACTTGATGCAAACCCCTAAATCTTGCTGAAAAATTATTCTTAAGTTAGTTTTGTCTTATTTCACGTGTACTAATATATTTGCACTATAAACTAAATCAAAATGACTTGGTAAGATTTTGTGTTTTTGCAGTGTGCATCATATGAAGAAACTTGTGTCTAAATGGTGCAAAATGTGCATCTTCTTTCAGTTGTTTGATTTAATTTATGCTTATAATTTGACACTATAGCTGCTGTGCATTGATTCTGCTAAAATCAAACTAAAATGATTTATCTGTTTGGACTCAGACGGACCCGCCTCATTACAGTCGGGCTCTTGCCTACTCGTCCCCCATGGAGCATTCTGCCCTCACCAACATGTCTGACAACCAAAATCAGATGATGCACAACAAGAGAAACGGTCGCTACGACGACGACTACACCACTTACCAGGAGCAGAAGAAGCCCATGATTGGCTATCCGACCAAAAGTCTGACTCAGCGTCGCCCCCTGTCTGCCAGGAGCTACAGCACCGAAACGTACGGAGCATCTCAGGTAACGCAAAAGATGTACTTTAACAGCTTCTCTTTACTTTATAAGCTGGGTTTTGAGTTCTTGATTTCATCTATATTCATATATAATTAGATATGATATTTAATTTTTGTTTTAGTTAAAGCGAAAGCAGTTTTTCCATCTGTAAAACAACTTGTTTTTCTATGCTTTCTGCTGTTTGTATAAGTTTTTTTCTCAGAAGGTCACATTTTAAACATAAACAATTACATTTAAGAAGAAATATTTGCTTATCTGGGGTAATTTTCTACTGATAATTATGTGGCTTCTACCTCTCATTGTAGCAGTATTGTAAAAGAAATGATGAATATTGAAGCTTCCTTTCAGCCAGCTGACTGGCAGATTGTTGCAACAGATACTTTAAACTAGTCAGAGAAAACATATTTTGTAGCATCGCTATTTGGCTGGAATAAAAGCCCAAAAATATCTATTGCATCAGATTTTATTTCTTTTGATGTGGTTCAGATTCCTGAAGTCAGGCAAATGCAGCAGCTTGTAAGTGTAATAATTCCTGGAACACGCAGAGAGATGGCCTATTTTGGCAGAGAGGTTTAAGGATCTGGGATTACAACAGCTTCTTGATTCTTTCCTTTAATCATCTCGGTGTGAGTGAGCAGAGCGAGGATGGTGTTCGTTGCTGCTTCCTTGTTTTTTAAGACCCACTCCTTCATAAATAATCCCTTCAAGATATTCTGGGTTCGTTACAAGTCAGATGTTCCTAAAATACCCACAGAGATGTGTCCAACAGCATACCTGATTAGATGGCAAAACATTTCATCTGCTGTCGTTCAGCAGGAGAAAGTAGGGCGCATGGTGGCTGTTTGCAAAACTCAGATTACTACAGTGCTCATTTTGCTGAAAGCTGCACTATTTAGGTTTTAGAAAAACATATTTTTGACACATTTGCTGAAACTATCATTGCTTCATTAGAGTAAAAAAATCCATCTCTTCTTCCTGTTTCCAATGCTAACTAGAAACAGCCAATCAGAGCCAGGAGGCGGGACTTAACGCTGTCAATCATCTCTGTTTTTGAGAACATTTTCACATATTGAAACATTTAGAATATACATACATTAAAAAACTGTTTCCATTGGAATGTTCTGACAAATATGTAGACATATTCCAGATGTGTTGAAGTACTTCTCCAATAACTGTTACATTTATTTTGTTTGTATTAATGAACAAATCCTGAGTCTCAAAATCATTACAATGACACTTTATTCAGTCCATTGTAGACAGAAGAATTGAGTCAATTTACACCACAAAACTTAGAAATTTCTAGATGAATTTAAGAAATTTTCTTGAAAATTTTTTTCTAAAAAAAATGTTGCGATTATTCATAAAATGTTTGTTTTTATAGCAATTTTTCAACTTTTTAAACACACAAAAATAAAAACATTTTAAGATTAATCTCAGAAATTTTCAGTCCATCAATGTATTTGTTGTCCAACATCGTGTGTTATTGTGATCGTGTGTCAGGTTGTACTGATTGCAGTTTTATGGCCGATTAGCAAAATTTAAAAACCCTGACTAATTTTGTACTTATATTTATTTACTTTATGCAATTGTTTTAAATAAACCTTTGATTTGTTTACACTCTTTTCAGTCTAAAACATGTAAAACATTTGATGGTTTTCTCTAGATCCTGAAAGATTTGCGTCTCTATAAAAACTTATTTTCTGTAACAGTTCCATCCTCTGCACTCTCGTCGCTCTCTTCCCTCTGTGTTTCTACATTTTGACGGCCCGCAGGCCCGCCCCGTGTCGGCTCGCCCCACCATGGCCGCCCTGCTGGAGAAGATGCCGCCCGACTACACCCTGGCCACCTGCCCCGAGAAACCGTCTGAGGACACCATCAAAGTGAGACCCGTCGTCCCGCAGAAACCCGAGGACATCACCTCCAAGATGCCCGCCGACTGGAGGCAGCAGCTCCTCAGGCACATAGAGGCCAAACGGTTGGACAGGGTACGTCCACCCGCAGCAGAAAACACGTCCACAGCACACACACGGAAACACACGGCACTACGAAGCCCCCTCTGTCTGTATCCGTGTAAGTCTGTGTTGTAAGGTTGACGAGGTTCGTTTTCGGCTGCATGTGTGTCCACTCCACACTGTCACCGTCGGCCTGATCAGCCGCACACTCGCCGATGGATATGTGCTTGAAGAGTCACATTTCCTTACATTCAATTCAGCAAAATCTCCATTCGAATCAGCAATCTGATCCTGTCTCATTTTATCCTTTTCTTTTTCTTCCAAAGTGATGAAAATATGAGCCAGCATCGGGGTCATTGTAGATAGAAAAATGGAGTCAGTTTCCACCAAACGAACTCAGATATTTTGAGATTAATCTCTAAAATCTTCTAGAAAAAACAATGAATGTCTAAATTTGAACATTTTCTAGAAAAACAAAGATATTTTGAGACCTCAGAAATTTTTAGATTAATCTATAACAAATTTAGAAAAATGCCAAACATTTTTGAAACTCAGATTTGCTTTGTAGAAAGTTTTTTAAAATTAGTCTCAAAAGTTCACATTTTTGTCTCCATATTTGAAAAGTTTGAAAACTAAATGTTTTGAGATTTATCTCAAAATTTCTGGGGTTTTTTCTATATTTGAAAAAAAATTAGCTTGAAGCTCCTCTTACCGAGGAATTTTTAAACATTTCTCCCTTTTGAAACTTTTTTTTGTCTAAGATTTCAGAAAACAATCAGAATTTCTTTTAGCTTTTTCTTGGAAAAGTTAAATTTTTCAAGCCCTGAAATTTCAGGGGGGTGTTCTAGAAAATTTCTTAAATTAATCTAGAAATTTCTGCGTTTTGCTGTGGAAATTGCTCCTCTTTTTCTATGTACACTGGCCCTAATAGAGCGTCATCTCTTTTCTGAAATTCTAATGATTTTATAAGAGATTTTATTTTAAATTGACCCAATTTAATGCTGACATTCCTTTTAATTGTTTTCAATTGTCTGAAAAAAGTTTGGAAATTGTCACAGATGATATTTTGAAGTTTAAATTGTCTTCATATTTGTATAAAGTTGAAAACAATAACTCCCTGTACAAATATTAAATATTTACTTTCAAATAATTTCTCTGTGGTACAGTTAAGGCCAAAATTATTCATACCACCCTGTTGTAGAGCTAGATTCAAAAAATTGCAGTTATGTTTACAATGTACCAGAAAAATGGCATTTCAAAAATCATATTATTCTCAATAATATTTGGAAATGTATTCGTTGGTATTAAACCAGTCCAATCCTCCTCATTATAGCTGCGCAGCTTTTAAGGTTTTCCTTACCTCCACTGATTTATTTATTATGTTTTTCTGAATGAATCTGCGTCAGGCTGGGCCAAATTAAATACTCCGGTCAGACAGAAGCAGGAGAATTGGGCAAAATAAAAAGGTTAAGAACAGTAGACATAACTCTTATTTAGTCATACAAAAAAACATCTGGTTTTGATGATTTTTAACTTTTCCAGTAACATTTTTAAACTCTTGGTTAAGTGTGTATAAAGTTGCTGGAATGATCCACTTCCTGTTTTGTGTGTATTGACCAATCACTAGCTAACATTTTTCTGTGCTTTCAGCAACTCTGCACTGTTGTTGTTGTTGTTGATTTTATATCCGTGTTGTTGTTTGTATATTTGTTTTATTGTGGAGCTGTGCTGGCTCGCTGTGTTGGCTCCGCCCCCTTCCCCCTCCCCCGTCATTCATGTCATGTGATGTTGTCTCCTCCAATCAGAGTGGTGTCCTAAAGCACAACACGCTCACCCTGGGCATGCTCTATCAGGGCGGGGGTCACGGCCAGGGGCGCAGCACCACTTTGAACTTTAACCTTTACAATAACACTAGGCATGAGCCCCCTGCTGGCCGCTGGCTGCCACTACCTCCGCCTCCGTCTGCCATCACTGTGAGTATCCTGATGAGAGAACTGAAACCCTGATTACTGCATACATATGATCACAAAAGCTTTGGGGAGCTGCAGGCAGTGGTCGTTTTAAGCACATTAAACGTCCTTTGTTTGTTTTTTGACTGTTTATATCACCTGCATGTTTTATCCAAACAACTAGAAGAGTCACAGCAATTCTACCTGGCAGGACTTATATGAATCTAACATAATATTCCATAATAGTATTTGCAGCTTATTAAAGCTTATTAAAGTGGACGTCATTTGCTGTGAAAAAATGTGGAAGAGGATTTGGGCTGCTGGGGGGGAAAATCCAGACTGTTTTCTCAAAATTCTGATTTTAAATTTATAATTTTGACTTTAAATTCAAATTCTAAATAAGAATTCTGCTCTTTTTTTCTAAATATTTACATTTTTGTCTCAGAATTTACTTTAGACTCGGAATTCTGACTTTTAATTCAGAATCAGACTTTTTTTTCTCTGAATTATTTTTTTTCTGAAAAATTTAGGCTTTAAAATCAGATTTCTAATTTCTCAAAATTCTGTCTTTTTTCTCAGAATTTTGACTTTTGATCTGAAAAGATTAAAGTAACACTCTAATCTGTCTAGCAGTGACCAGATTAGGACTAAAGTTAGCATCAGGTTTAAACAGTTTTAAACCTGTTACAGTTTCACTCTTCAGAAAAATATACCAATAAATTATGACTTTTGTGGAACTAGTGTTAAGGTATTTATAAAATAAATAAAATATTTGTTCAAGCTAAAGAGTAAAAACGCAGACATGCTTTTCTTTGTGTTGGTAATTAACTGATTTTAGTTGGAAAGTATAATCTTCCAGCCTTAATCCTGTTAAAAAGTGTAATCTCACCAGTTGATTACTGCTGTGAACCTTTTCAGTATTTTTCTGTCTCTGTTTCTCAGACACCTTCTCAGCAGGCTGCAATGCTGGATAATGACCAGGAGGGGGTGACAGGGAGCAACCAGTGGGCTCCCTACTCACTCGGCCGAAGAGACGTTCCGCCTGAGAACCTCATGAAAAAGGTAAAGGATCAATAAATCAGTGACTGTAAAAGGTAAAACCTGCTTTCAGTGGCAACATAGCAGTGATTGTGACGAGTTGTCATTATGCGGTGCTTGTTTCCACAGGGCGGACATTCACACAATCAGTCACACAACACCATGATCGTCACCTCGTCCTCCTCATCCTCGGCCACCGTGTCTCACCGCGTCGTCGGGCAGCAGGTTTATGACGGGATGATGAACAAGGGCGGCCAGTACCAGCAAGGAATGTCGCTGTCAGTGGTACCAGCTGGCGGCCCGGGCCAGTACCAAGGCAACGTCTCGCAGGGTACACCACAAAACTTACCTCCATGTTTTACATTTAATGCCTTGCAGCGCTGCAAAAACATACAATCAGACCTTTTTTTGTTTCTTTCTACTGCACATGAAATCAAACAAGTGCAGTGAGTAAAAGTAACTTGGAAAAACTATTTGAGCTTATTTTAACTAAATAATTCCTTAATAATGATTTTAAAAACTAGCAGATTATTTTACTTATAACAAGGGAAAAATATCTTGTAATAAGTGAATTAACCTGCCAATGAAACAAAGACTTTTTCATCAATATTGAGAAATTTAGTTAAAATGAGCTAATTTTCACCCATGTGCCTAAAATCAGCACTGCAAAAACATAAAACCTTATGAAGTATTTTTAATCTAGTTTCTAGTGCAAATATTTTACTTGAAATAAGAGAATTAACTAACATTTCAGCTAGAAGCTAGAAGAGCTTGTTTAAAGTGAATAATTCTTTAATACAACTTCCTTCGGCAGATTGATTCAGCTATAGCAAGATGTTTTACCCTCGTCATAAGTGAAACAATCTGCTAATAGGACTGATCGATGTTAAGGAATTACTTAGTTAAAAAAAGCTCAAAAAGTTACTTGTAAGTAAGTTTTCTCTTCTACGATATTTGCACTAGAAACTACATTACAGTTACTTGGTAAGATTTTGTGTTTTTACAGTGAAAAGCATCAATATCCTTTGATTTTTCCAACATTTTGTCATATTGTTGAAGGATTTGTAAGTTAGTGAATGCAAAATACTTTATATTTGTGATGTGGAATGTAATAAAATGGTTTAATTGCGTATTGTCAATAGTGTTTTCCAATAACTACCTGGTCAACTTTTCTGAGGGAAACCCAGACTTCTAAATAAGAAACCAATCTTTAATGTGTTTTTGTCTTCAGGCCTTCCCTCCCCAGGCCAGGCGTACCCCAGTGGCGGCCTCCCCATGGCGCTGTCGTCGTCTGGAAACCAATCTCAGTACAACCCCCACCCCTCCCATCAGCCGGCCACCAATCCGCAGTACCACGTGAACCAAGGCATGACCCACAGCAACCAGGCCGTCATGGCGAGCCACACCAACCCCCGGCCTCAGAGCGCTCGCTGCCTGCTGCAGACGAAAGGCCAGAAAAGCACGGACGGTTTCCAAGAGCAGGTATGGAAGGTGCTTGTTCTGCAGAGCACAAGTCGTTAGCATTCATCAAATACAATAATGGCTGATTTTTCCCAAGCAGATTTTGATGCAAAAACAGAAAGTCACGTATATTTGGTCTCGTTTATTATGCAAATATGTTAGCATATTTGATTTAAAACAAACCAAACTTATAAAGTAACTTTTTAGGAAGACATAGGAGCTATTTTTGTGTAAATAATTAACATTAATGAACTCCTTAATGAAAAATATCTAGTTATAAGATTGTTTTTCTTTTTGTCGTAAACAAGCAGCTAATATTGGTAAAATGTGGAGATAATTAAGTAACTTAGAGCCTCCGTCTGTGCTGAAACCAAGCCAGACGTGTCAGTCGTAATCAGAAACGTTCTGCAGATGGAGAGCGCCGTCCCAGTTCAGAGAGGGACATGAAGTCATTTGCACCAGTCTGCACCGCGACCTCCTCTGGGTTTTTCATTGTTTTTCTTGTTTTTCCCCCTTCATTGCAAGAGATAGCTTCCCATCATGCCAAACAGCAAAGCACAGGCAGTGTCATTTGTGGCCTGGTTGTTCCAGATAGCTGGCAGAGCGATCCTCCTCGTGTTTCTTTGCCGTTTTCGCCGTGCGTGCGTTTCACGTTGAGCTGTCTCTCTCTGCTCTTCTGCCAGCTGTGTGTGAGGATAGAGAAGAACCCCGGCCTCGGCTTCAGTATCTCTGGCGGCATCAGCGGCCAGGGCAACCCCTTCAAACCCTCCGACATGGTACGACCTGACCCAGCCTGTCAGCCAATCACAGCCTCCTCAGCTTTACCTCAGAGTTGCCATGGAAACTGCAGCTCGTTACCGCAGTGTTTGTCTGTGAGGCGGTGAGGCCGACGTGGTTCACTTACAGTGAATATTTCCTTTTTCTAAACAGCTCAGGTTCATTTATTGGGCTTAATTTGACTCAAAGAGGCAGGGTTATGTTTGTTTTCCAGGCACATCGTGGCATTTTGGAGCTAAATTAACCAGAGGTGGGCAGAGTACAAGTAAAAAGTAGCCAAGAAATGAAGAGTAAAGAAGTATTTGGTACAAAGTCTACTCAAGTACTGAGTAACAGATAAAATTATCAATCATTTAATATGTAAAAGTTGCATAATCAGAGAAACTAAAATATAAAGCTAAGTCAAAAATAACAATAATTCATCTAAGTAATAAAATCTGAGAAATCAAATGTTTCCAAATGAGTTTCTTTCAAAATAAAACTTATGAAACTTTAACAAAAACTGCAGGTGTGTGTCTGTGTCTGGTGAATTTTTGGTTAAAACATGTTTGTTTTTCATTTAGCGAGTAAAAAATCCAGAAATTTTACTCAATTCAGAGCAGAAAATACAGCGTAGTGAAAATACATATTTTTCAAAATAGTTACTCAAGAAAATGTAACTTGATACTACCAAACTCTACAATCAAGTCACTATATTACCTTCAGTTGTTAAAAAATGCTATAAATTTTAAATATGCCTCCAAATTGAACCTCTGCCTCTTTAAATCCTCGCGCTCTCTCTGAAGTCATCACAACATGGCTCCTCTATTAACCCTTTAAAAGATTTTTTATCAGTAAAGCAGCTCATATGATGAGCTCAGCAGTTCCATGAGGTGTTTGCTGATTGCTACTGGCTAGTCTGAAGGAGCTGAGTGGGTGGGGGAGGGAGCGTTGTGAGAAACCACAGCTTCCAGGAGGAGCTAAACATGAATGAAAATATCAAAGCAATGCTCCGGTTGTGTTTTTGATGTAAAGCTACAAAGATCTGATTTAAGCTAACACTGCCCCTTTAAATGTATTCAAAACGTAACTGAAACTCCTCAGGTTAGTAGAAAAAACTAACATTTTCCGGAGTCTGCAGCTGTATTGAACCGCCTTGTAGCATCATCAGACTTCCTCAAATCTTACAAGACACGCCAATGTCTTTCATCGACTTGACTTCTAAATTTGACTGAGCCTGTCTGCAGCAGCAGCAGCCTGTTGGGGCGGAGATCCCCCAGGCCCGCTCCACAAGGCGACCTGTCCCAGAAACGAGTCGCTCCGGTCGGCCTCAAGGAGATTTTTGTGCCGCACACAAAAAGCTCCAGCTGCTATCTTTAGCCGACTGCTCAGTTCTGGGGCGCAGTGGGCGATTTTAGATGTTTGCTTTGATTCAGGATGGAAGGTGTGACGTTTTATTCTGACGGGACGGCCCACTCTGAGGACGAATGGTGAAGTTTTACTTTGAAGGTAGGAAGAAAACTGTTGTTTAACTTTTATATTAAGGTCGGGTACCTGCTGACTTCAGCAGTTATTTTATAGTTCCTTTTATTCTTTATGGGTCATAAAGAGGCAACAGAGTCTCTGCAGATGAACCTTTTTGCGTAAGTAATGACAGAATGCATACTCTATAAAAAAACATCTTAAATTATAATATTTTTACAAGTTTTGGAAAAGCCTAACTCTTGAACTTATTCCCCTTATGTCTGATTAGAACCAGAATATTCAAAACTTGTTTTAAGACTTTAAAAACTGTATTTATAGAGTGGAAATTATTTATGTCAGAAGCAGTTATAGGTTTACTTTTAAGCATAATAAAAGGGCATTATTATATAACATTCATATTTTTGAGATTTACATCATGTCATAATGTTATTAACTCATCAAAAACATACATGAAAATAGTTTCTTCTCCCACGGCAACCATTCGGCTGGGCGGACCTTGCTCCATCTTCAAGGCACAGCCCCTTCAGACTAGCTAGCAGCAATTAGCAAACACCTGGTGGAACCGCACATCTGCTGAGCTCGTTATGCAACGCTGGTCAAAACGTTAAAGGGTTAATAGAGGAGCCATGTTAGGATGACTATATGAGTTACAGAAAGAGCAGAAGTTTTTAAAGAGACAGAGACCCAATTTCAAGGTGTTACAAAGTAAAATTGATTTGAAGTCATATTTGGTATATATAGCATTTTTTTTAACAACAGAAGGTAACATGGTTATTTGGTTGTGCCATAAAATGATAAACACATAATGCTGCCCTTTTACGGTGTTGGAATAACCCTTAAAAATTCAATTTAATTGGGAATCTGCAGAGTACTCTCCATTTAATCTGTAATTCTTTAAATATACTACAAAACGCTGCTGTGCTGTAATTGCAGCAAAATATTTTAAAGAAGTGGATGACCCCACCTTTGCCTTCAACTTTACAGCCTTTTGCAATTTCAGGAAAACTCAATAAAACCCATCAGAGTGAAATATTCTGCAAACTCCTGTTGTCAGAGTGAAAAATCAGCAGATATGTTTGATGTTTTTCACTGATATTTACCCTGGATGTTTTGCATACGCGGTATTTTGTATTTCCCAGGTTTAGGCCTTTTAAATTCACAAAATTACACATCAGTGCTTTGAATACCAGAGCTACAGAAATACAGTGTCACACATCCTTGGTGTGGTAGCTCCCTCTAGTGTTCAGCTTGCATTATTTTGAAATGAGTCATCCCAACATGGTGTGTCAAACTGAAGGTTCTGGGGCCAAATCTGGGCAAATAGCTCTTTGTGTGGCCCTCTGGACGCCAGAGAAGTGCAGAAAAAAAACATTATGTGCTTAAATATTATTTTATCTGTTTTTTTTGTTGTTTTTTTTACAAATTCACACAGAATCAACACGTTTTGTTCTAATGTGAAATTATGAGTTAATTTCAAATTTTCCTCAGAAAATGGTCAACAACATCGAGTTTCCAGATGCTAACTCCCACCTGCCTCAGCCGTAGAAAAGAAATCACATTTACTGCCATACATCAGCACAGAAATGTTTAATAAATCTCCAGAAAACAATCATTAAATTCTCAGTGTGAGAAGATATTTAGAGCAGTACTCATTTAAAGGTTTTTATCAATGTTTTTTGAAAACATTCATGATCTGGATATGTTTCAAAATGCAGATAAATTTGACGACCTTCACTTTGGACATACTGTACAATGCAAGTCATAAATGTAACAATTTCAATAAGGGTTGCCTGATAATAAATAGTAACCAGCTGTAAAAAAAAGTACCAACTTTAATTTGTAGTTAAGTGAGGAACTAAAATGCGACGTCTAATTAACTTTAAGTTGCAGCGGCGTATTCTCTTCCTGCTCCGGGTCGGGTTGAGCCCATTGAAGGCCCCCTGCAGGAGTCATTACTCGGGTCTGAACAGAAACAACAGTAATCCTGAAGGATCGGCTTTAAAACACGTAGCGGCTCTCTGCACCTCTGGGTCCGTTTCAGTTCTGGTTAATTAGAGCGCAGGAAGAAGAAAAGTCGCCTCATATTGACTGGATCTTTGATTTGTTTGCTTTTCAGAAGAAACTCTTTTCTTCTCTATATTTGTTATATAAGGCTCTTCTCTGAAAGGTAAAACTAACAAAATATAAGATTTAAATTGAGAAAACATTTTTGCTACCTGAAATCAGTGAAAACAAAAACTTTCTTTTAATTTTTCTATATACAACAAACATTACAAACTGACAAAAACCAAAAAGATGTATTGTTGTACAAAACAATGAACAAGATAATAGAATGAATAACAAACAATAAAACAAACAAGGAAATTTACATTAGGACATACTTTTTTCTGTTAATTTTTTCTGTTAATTATTTTCCTTTTGAATTATTATTTTTCTTTTCTCTTCAATACTGCTAGAATAACCCAGCATCACAGATATTTTGGATAAAAGGGAAAAAGATGAGAGAAAATAGAAAGCAAACAGATAAATATATATTAGTACATTCCAGAACAAAGTAAAAAAAAATAAAGGATAATTAAAAAAACACTCTGTGATCTTACTATTAGGCTCCTCTCTGGTCTTTGCTTCCGCAGTGGCACTAATTACCAAAAACAGACAGAAATTATTGATATAATATTGTTTGTTTTCATTCTTATGAATCTTTCATTCTGTTTTTGCAAAAAAAAAATCTATATAATTTTAAAAAATCTTTTGCTGAAATGTCGTCCAATTAAAAGGTAGTTTTTTTGAGATGAAACATGAATTTATTTCAAATCTAGTAATTGTTTTTTTTTTTTTTTTTTTACCAGAGATGCCTTTCTCTGGAGATGTTGTACTTTTAAAAATCCATATATATTTTCCCCTTTTGTTATTACCACTGTTGCACACTAAGCTAACTCTGATTCAGCTGCTAAAATCTCATCAGTCTGTGGAAAATATTTCTCAATGTTTTACAGATTAAGACCATTTTAACGATTCCTTGCTTTGTTGTGTTTTTCAGCTCTGTGTGTGACTGTTTCACACTGTTATTAAAATCAGCTGATGGCATATTTCCTTTAAATATACAGTGAGCTTTATCCAATCAAAGGCTAATTGGCTCCAAGCAAATGCCAGTGTGAAAGCACCGACTTTTCAAGAGTCTGCATGGCAAATTAACCAAGTTTGTTGCGGGATAATTGAAGTATTTTACTGTCTGTATGAGGCTCACTGTATGATTGTCAGTGTTGCCACAGTGTTAACACCTCTTTGTGTCTATTGATGTGTTTACTCACTCACTGTAGTGTCCTGGGTGGTGCTGCACCGTCACTACTGCATCATTTTTTATGTTTCCGGTTCTCTTGTGTCCCTCCTTAACGGCACATTTACCTGTGTTCAACATGTAAGCAGCTTGTTGAACCATGTGGAGTTTCTGCAGCTGCATTGTCTGACTCCTCTGTGTTCGAAAACATCTTTCAGCTCTGGGTGAAAAGATGTTGGTGTTTTTACAATCTCTGCCTTGGGTAATTGAGAAATGAAAACAGATGGGGGTGGGGAGGGCTGATTGCTGATATCTACTTATTTCCAAACCCACACATATTTTCCTTCCCATATTCTTGAATTATTTGCTCTTTGTTTATTTTACTACATTTTTAGCTCTAGCCAATAAAAAATATTTTTTTAAAAAATGCTAAAGCAGTTTCTAAAATAAAATTTAAAAAATAGCATTATCATAAACAATCCTTACTACTACTTTTGCAGTATTTTCATTCCTTTGAGGGAGAAATCTGATTTGTTTCAATATTCATTTTGTGTTTGGGGTTGGGTTGGATATTGAGATGAGCATGAGAAAGGCAAAGATTCTAAACCATCGTGTCCCTGTGTTGTCCTAACGGTGTATCATTTTGACTTATAGGGTATCTTTGTTACTAGGGTACAGCATGACGGACCCGCCGCCTCCTCACTGAAGCCTGGAGACAAGATACTGCAGGTAACATCCTCCCATTCGACATCAGCAACATCCGACCTTTTCAAATAATGAGGCAGCATATTCAGCAGGACATAGCACACAGTCTTCCATTCAAAGATGGGCTGAAATCTCATCTTAGTAGCAACATACAGTGCCTATAGTCATGTTGCAAAACTGCTAGCCAACAATAACTCCTATTAGTTTTGGCTAAAATGAGCTAAATCTTATATATGTACATGATATATGCAATTGTCAACACTAAGGCAAGTAGATGACAAGGTCAGAAAAAAGTTTTAATTAAAAAAAACTAGCGAGGGAGACAGAAGAAGGTTAGCTATGCTAGCTTGACTATGACAATCTCAACATGTAGATGCGGTGGAATTTCATGTGTTTCGGTCCAGTTATAAAAACATTGGAAACACACTTGAACTCTCTGACAGATAATCAGAAGAGCAGGTATTTAAATGAGCAAATCAGCAGTGACTTAATCACAAAATAAACAGATTTTTTAGCTGTTATAAATGAGTTTCTCTCAAACAAAAAATACATTTTTCTGTGCAATGGTTTTTTTTGTTGTTTTTTTTGCAAACAAAAAAATAATTTCCCAAACAGAAATGTTTCAGAAATATTTCTGTTCTATGTGTGGGAAATATTTGCGTGTTTTTTGGTGTTGAATCCTAAAACCTTAGAGGAGCTGTTGTCAGTCGGTTACTATGGCAGCGGATCTCTGTGTAGAGAGCGAGTGGTTTTGAATCGTTTTTCAGAGTTTTTTTCCTTTTCATTTTCCCTTTGCTGTGTTGTGCTGCACTAAATTAATAATACCTGAACCTCCAGGTTTCTTTTTGTTCACGGAGTTGCTCTACCGCGGCAACACGGCTACAGAGGGCAACTAAAAGGATCATCTTTTATCAAAAACACCAAAAATGTTTGGTAATTTTTCTTTTCTCAAAAAAGCCTAACTTTGTTGATCATGGTTGATTTATGAAAGTAATAAAAAAATTAAAGTAAAACATCTAAGAGGGTTTTTACAGGCACTGTGGCTGCAGTAAATATGCAGATAAATAATGTAAAAGATCCACATTTCATTCTGCTTTATATTCTGCCTCTACGTCACGACCATACAGATATCTGGCATGAGCTTTCTCCCCCCGAATGTTTCATTTTTCTTTTCATCATTAGTTTTAAAAGCTTAAATATCAGAGCTACATTATTTGAAAAGTAACATATCAACTACAAACTCCATGATTAACATAAGTTATAGACCGTTATGTGATTCCCCGATTTTAATGAATTATTGTCTTAAAACTAGCGCTTAAATCTTGCTGAAAGTTGTAAATTAGTTTCGTTAGATATTTTCACTAAAACTAAACCAAAAATACTTGGTAAGATTTTTGTTTTTGCAGTGTAGAAGTCCATGCTGATAACAAAGTGCTTAAATATTAATTTATCAATCAAATCAAAGCAGTTTTTATCTGTTTACTGTCAAATTACATCAATCTCTCCCTTCTGTTTCTTGCAAATTATTGTAAAATCCCTGCGCTTTTTGGTGCTAATACATAATTGTGAGTTTATTACAGAATATTGTTTACAATATTTCTTACTTCTAATAAACAGCTGCTTCAGCCTCACTTGATGTCAAGTTATAATCTATAATGATATGACAAGTAATAAAAAGCTGTATGATTATCGTCATACATAATTGCAAATATTTCTAAATTAAAACCGCAAACACTTTGATTTTCATTGCAAAAAAATCACAAAAATACTCCAAAATCCTAGAAAGACTGAAAAGATTTTCCATATTATTTAATGTAAAAATGTATTTATATTTTGATAGTTTTGTTATATCAATACATTCTGGGACAACTGGCCCTTTAAGGACATTCATAATTTTGATTTGGCCCAAAATTAAAATGATGACATTTTAATTTTGATGTTGTGTTATCATATTTAAGGTGGTCTGTGTTCGTTTGTTAAATGCGGATGATAATTCTCAGCCTAAAAAAGTTTGAGAAACACTAATGTAGCTCAATGCAGTTATTTAAACTGAATCTCAAAGTACAAATAAAGACGACTTAAACTTTAATTTGAATGTTTTTGAACAATCAAGATAAGAAATCAGCTTCACGCTCATCTATGTTTCCCGCGCCTCCTCTCTGTTGTCTATCATCTTCACTCCTAAAGTTGTACAGTTTAGCTGGATGAACTCATCTGAAAACCCTTTTTTGTCTTTACCCCTTCTCTTTCTACAGCATGACTGTGTAGCTCCTCCTCTTCTCTCTCTTTTCCCCCAACAGTGATGTGTTACTGAGATAATGATGGCAGTGACCCTCCATCCTCCCACAAAACACTCACACATTGACATGTGTATGGAAAATCTGCAGAACACATACCTCTATACACACATGCGCACACACACACATTGCTGTTGACTGTGCTGCGTGTTTGCCTTGCAGGCTAACGGACATAGTTTTTTACACATGGAGCACGAGACAGCCGTCTCTCTGCTGAAGAGTTTCCCTCGGACCGTGCACTTGGTGGTTCTGAGAGACGGCAGCACGTCATAGAAATAGTTTTATAACAAACAAACCCACTTCCCATCTCAACTCAACTCCATTCAACTCTACCCCACCTGCCCTCTGCTGGTGACATGTGGAACTGACATATGAGCCTTCTTTTTTTCTTCTTGTTTTTGTAACCTTTTTAAAGGAACACACAGACATCTATTTGCCTATTGCGGAACCAAAGGCAAATACTAGTGCCAAAAGTACCATGGGAAACATCTCTTCTCTTCTGTCTACCAGAGGTCAGCGACCTGATTGACGGACGGATGGACCATGAAAGGATGCAACACTTTTCAGTTCCTTCAGGGCTGCTGCAGTGAGGCAGTTTTTCCCTCAGCCAATCGGATTTGAGTCATTTTTTATTGGAGGATACTTTTTTTTATTTATCGCTTTCCTTCACTTTCTTTTTCTTTTTTGGTTAACTCCAGTATGTAACTTTTTTTTTTTTACATATTTATCGAAACTGTCACTATTTCACTATTTATCTGTTTTGATTGGTACAAAACAGATAAACTGTGGGGGGGAAATGACCTGTCCCAATGCTGACTCGAAACAACCAATCAGAGCCAGGAGGCAGATCTTAGTGCTGGTATAGAGCCCAAATGTTAAACTCAAGTGAAATCAGCACTACTTCAACATATTTTTACTCATGTAAAAGTAAAAAGTAGCCATCAAGTAAGAATAAAAAGGTATTAGATAAAAAATCTGCTAATGTACTGAGTAACTGATCAAATTATAATTTTTTATGACATAATCAGAAGGAACAAAATATAAAGTTAAGTAGAAATTTTGCAAATTTAAGTACAAAATTAGAAAAATTAATATAAGTAATAAAAAATTTTTTTAAAAATCAGGCAAAACATTTTTTTTCCAAATCAGTTCTTTTCAATAAAAATCTTCTGAAACTTTAACTAAAACTGCATGTGTTTGTCTGGTGTTTTGTTATTAAAACATGGTTGTTTTTCCACCTGTAAAAAAAATTCTGAAATTTTTCTCAAGTAAACGCAGTTTGTAATAAATTTACTCAAGTAAACCTAAAAAGTACAATTTCTGAAACTACCTTTTTTCCTCAAGTGTAACTGGTTACTACCCAACTCTGATCACCCTCCATCTGATTGGCAGTGCTACCATAAAGCAAGCTGCAGCTAAAGCTAGTTAGCATGGCGGATAAATGTTTTTTTCTGTAATTGCAAGTTGTTTTCCTACCGTTACCACATTTAGCAGCACAATCATGAGTTTGATTGACAGCGCTAAGACCTGCCTCCTGGTTCTGATTGGTTATTTTTGGTTGGTACATTTCTTTAGACAGCAATTATGGCTCTGGGATCAGAGGGAGAAGATTGATTGTCTTTCAAAGATTATCTGTTCATAAACTCAGAATAGTGGCAGTTTTAGCAAATATTTAAAAACTATATATTTTTTATAAGTTACACACTGCAGCTTTAAATGAATGTGTAGCATCTTGTTCATTGCTTTGTCATTAGTTCTGTTTTTTATACAGCTTCTTTCTTAAGCCTCACCCATCATTCGTATTTATTTAATTTATTATTTTTTGTTTTTTGCCTCCAGTGTACAGATAACTTTCTGCCTTTTGTACATATATGAAGATTTGGCTTTCCTGAGCTGCACTCTCAGTTGGGCCCAGACTGAAAGCTCTAAAGGTTTATGATTAATATAACTGTTAATAAAATATATTCAGATTTTTTTTATTTCCTGCAATTTTACAGGAGTCATTTCTCTGAATGGATTTCATTTTTTTTCTAAAGTACACCACGGTTTTACCTGTAAAGAACACCCGTTTCATAGAACGTCATTGCTGATAGTTTTTAGGTTTGAAAAGTTTCGCTTGCACAGCTGTGTTGAAAAGAGCTAAAGCAATATTTCTGCAGCTATTTGCAGCTGAGCCAACCTTGTCCTCTAGTGCCATCTACTGTACAAGTCATGCTAATGTTTACACCCACACTGCCATTCACTTGAACTATTAGGGAAACACAAAAAGAGCCCTGTGCCCCCGCACTCCTACACTGCATTTGCACCCCTGCGCACTATTGCATTATGGTGCCCAATTTGTATCACAGAAAACTAATTCCTACACCTTGATTTGTCACCAGTGATAACAACTGTGCCATTGTTTGAAAGACTAGTCTTCTTCCATGTGCAGATTTTCCTTTTTTCAAATATTTGATTTGTACAATAGCCGGGCTTTTTTCCATGTAAATCACTTGAAAGACCAGACATTTGAAGACGCTGATGCTTTTCCATAGAACTGTTTGGCATACTCTGGTTCCAAATGTCAGCTTTGTTTAGTCATGGCTTGGATGAGACTTGAACCGAAATCTGGTGTCGTTGCTCAACAGTGATGTACTCATGGGAAAAATTGGCACAAATTAATTATCAGATCTATGTGGAAGAGGACTATTGCCACTAAAAAAAGAATCTTAATTTAATATCAAAATTCTGGATTTTATTTCAGAATTCTGATATTAAACTCAGAATTTGAACTTTTTTTCTCAAAATTCTAACTTTTGTCACAAATGTATGACGTTTTGCTCAGAATTTCAACTTTTTTGTCTCAGGATTCAGATTTTAAACTCAACTTAATCTTTTGAGATCAAGGGTTAAAATACTGGTGGTAAAAAGTCAGAAATTCACAAAGAAAAAAGTCAGAACTCAGAAAAAACGGTGCAATTCCTGTAATCCTCTTTCACAGATTTATGTCTCAAAGCGTTTGTTGTTGCAGTGCCTTGAAAAAAGTATTCATACCCTTTGAACTTTTCCACATTTTATGTTACAACCACAAGTTGCATTGTATTTTCAGACAATGATCCATGTTGTTTTCAACATAGTAAAAAGTCACCTTTCACTCAATAAAAACTTTAAAATTTATATCTATTGGTATATCTACCAATTTAGACATCTATAAACTGATTTTTAATTTTTTAAAATTTATTTGTTTTAGCTGCTGTTTTTAAAATAGCCTACACTCAAACAGGAAGGAAAATTTGAGGAGCCTTTTAATTTAGTCTTTCCACAGATTATTTGCTCTAGACTTGGACTAGGCCAGATCTAAACAAATCCATTATTTCAAAATTATTCACTACTTTGTGAATAATGCGGTTGTGGTTGTAATGGCAACATGTGGACAAGTACACATGTTGGATACTTGCAATGCACAGTTAACTTCAACTTTCCCTGGTAGCCTAAAGTGGGAAAAATAAGTTTAAAGGAAGAAAAAAACAACTCATCGTTCTGTTTTTGGCCAAAGATTGATTGACAGAGTAATATTGATATGACAAAAGTAACAACTTTAAAAAATAAAGTTTTATTTTATGTTTACATTTTGTCATATGATAGCATTTTTCACTTTGCTGTGCCCATTATGTGTCAGTCACACTTTCATATGGACACAACACAGCACAGTTTAAATATTGTGGTTGAGAGATTGAACCCTATCTAGAGTTTGAAATATCAGAAGTTATTATGACATGAACAGAGACAAATGTTTGATAATTATTTTTTACTCTATGTTTCAGGTAATTCTTTCTAAATATATTGATATACTTAGCTTTGCTCAAAACTTGTGATATTTTGTAAAGACACTTGTATCAAAGATATGGATAGAAGTACGCACAGTGTGACTTGAAGACCTACACAAGTACTATCCAAAACTTGTACAAAAATGTATTTCTACTGTAATTGTGAATTTGTGTTATACAAATGCATATTATTATATATATGTATATGATTATAAAAACACCAATTTTCTATGTGTTTAGATGATATAAGAAATGAACAAATGAGGACGGTTTCACTGTACATAAACTGTGAATGAAATATAATTTAAAATTACTCATATTGATTGTGAATGTACTCATGCTTTCTGCAGTACCCAACTTGAATGCTGCTTCTTCTTCTGTAGTGTGACAAAAATGTACTTTGACCTCTGAAGAGAGAAACTCTGTCGATTTATGAGTTGGACAAATTTTACTGACGATCTTACAGAACTATTTGTTTCTTTATTTATTTGCACATGCAAGTTGAAAATCTTTCCAGTTTTAAGTTTGAGTATCAATGCGAAGAAATGCAATTGCTGAAGTATATATAATATATATCATGTGTTTAGAATGCATTTTGCAGACACTACCTGTACATACTATTTAAGATACAGTTTTTACAACAAAAAAATATATGTATAAAATAGAAAAAATGCTGTGCAGCAATTATACTGGAGCCATTTTGGGCTTTGGGACGTACCATTTTTTCAATATATAAGAAGTGTTTTGAATAATGTACTAAAGTCTCTATTGTACAAATAATAAAAATGTCAATATTGGTAATGTTTGGTTCTTCTGGTGTTTTACATTCTAGTTTTTTGGGACACAAGTTTTTATTATTTGATTCTTATTTCTTTTGGAGATGAAGAAAATGTTAAATAGTAAATATGGGAAAAAGTGGAGATGGAGAAAACATTCATGGAAGATGGGACAATGAATGTTGAACTACATGTTGGACATAAAAATACAATTATGACTTTGTTATACTTAACATTAGTAACATAGCATATCGATTCATAAATGAGTTGATAAATGTATGCGTATTAAATATATGCTTATACATATATTTTATGTAAATATTTATATTAAATATATTTAATTATATAATTTTATGTTCAATGCAATAGAAAATTATATTCACATTTATAATATAAATGTGAACATTTATATTCACATAATATAAATGTGAATATATATGAAATATATCATTTTTATATATGTATATAAAGACAATTTTTACGTAATTCTTAATGTAAAATTTATTTTATTAAAAAATTATATTAAATATTTTTTACTTCATTATTTAAAATATAGATTTCTATAAAATTTCTAACATTTTTATGACAAGAATTTGTAATAAAAATGTATTACTCAACTTTGTTCATCATGTGACTCGTGATGCAAAAAGTTTATAGAATTTACATAATTGTAAGTTATTTAAAATAATTTATATAACATAAATTATTTCATATCATAAAATATATTTCAGTTTGTATATGCCCTAATATAATACTTAATAAAATAAATAAGTTGGGCTTTTAAAAAAAGCAAAACTCTAGCATATGTTATATTTAAAACAGATGAAGGAAGTAGGTTCTGTGTCTTTTGTCCATCATTCATATTGCATGGTGAAAAAGTAAAACAGCCTTTCAAAGAATGTCTTGGATTGACCAAGTAAATGTAACATTTGGTGTCTTAGATGCTAAAATATTTCTTTAAAAAAGCATAAAAGTTCAATTTCAGCCTTGTTTTTAACAAACCTAATTTTTTGTGCATGCTGATGATATAAAATTAGATATAAAATAAGAGATTAATGTAGCTCACAGTTGTTTTTCTGTAAGTTTTACGTGAGCAGATGCTTCTTTGACTCCCAGTTCATTAGTTTAACAGCCTGGAAACATTTTCATCCCTCCTGATCCGTCCCTCTGAGCTTTTCTTGACATTTATCTGACCTGAGACAGACAGTTCATCCTTCCTGCTTCAGAAACCAACCCTGAGGGGACAAAACTAAAATATCTACATGTTCTACATATACATAAACTTATATTTAAGAAAACTAATGTAAACAATTGTGTCAGTACGCCTACATCCGACTTTGATTTAGAAATACTGACAGTCTTTTTTCATGGATTCAGACCTGTTTGAGTGTTTTAATGTGAGGTTCACTTTAGTTTTTCCTTAAATGTCAGCATCTTACCTGGAGGGTTTTAAATATTTTTTTAATTGAATAATTAAAAAACACCTGTGTCTGCCTAAGCAGCTAATTATGTTTCACTTTAAACATGCTGAAAATGAGAAACTACACTGCAAAAACACAAAATCTTACAGTTTGGTCTAGTTTCTAGTGTAAATATCTTAATACACTTGAGATACAACAAAACTAACTTTGATGTAACTTTTCAGCAAGACATCTGAGCTTATTTTAAATCAGTAATTTGTGACTTTTGATTTAAGAGTTCAAGTCCAACTTGAATTCTTAAGACTATTTAACTTATTGAAAATATGTTAAAACTTCTCCCTTATTCTAAAAAGATCTTTGCATATTACATTGCAAACACTAGATTTTACCAAGTATTTTTGGCCTAGTTTCTAGTGCAATATCTTAATACACTTGAAGTGATTTACAGTAACTTTACAGTAATTTATAGGAGCTTAATTTAAGTCAGTAATTCTTAAATTTTGATGAAAAGTAATCGTTTTATTGATTGATTATTTCATTTATAATAAAAAAATCTTATAAGTGAAATAATCTACTTCTTTCCCAATTTTAAGTAATTATTTACTTAAATCAAGCTCCAATATCTTGCTGCATTTTACTTATAAGTTAGTGTTGTCTTATTGCAAATGAACTAAGATATTTGCATTACAAATTAAACTACAAAGACTTTGTGTTTTTACAGTGCATTATTCTATATGCAGACTTTCTTCGCTCTTTCCTTCACATCTAATTTAACTCAACTGCATATTTTCTGACTTGTATCATTCCCCGCTTCGGCTCTCTCGCCATCAGTAGCCTTTGTACAACCAGACTGACAATAAACAATAGAGTTTAGCATTACACACACACACACACAGTTTTGTTTTCATGACTTATGAGGACTTTACGTTGACTTCCATTCATTTTCCTAACCCTTAACCCTCCCCAAACCATCACATACCTAACTTCAACCCTAAATCTAACCATCACAAACCTAACCCCTCACCCAACGGGACCACAGCTAAAATAAAGAAATGAAGCCGTGGTCCCCACAATCCCACATTGTACACAGGTCCCCAAGAGGACACAAAAACCTGGTTCACACACACACGCACACATGTCCTTTTGTTCTGTTCCTCTTTAGTCTGTCTTTTACACACTGGCTTTAAACAAAAATGGTACTTCTGTATTCTGAGAGCCCATCCCACTTACATAATGATGCATGCATTTCTACCCACACTGATGCCGGAGTGAGTGTGTGAGAGAATGTGTTTTGTTCACCAACCACAGCAGTCAATAAGCTCTTGTGACCGGATCGATAACAACAACAGAGACTCTGACCTGCATTCAGCTGATGATAGACAGCCAAATCTGTCCAGCATGCAGAATTTTTTTTATTGTCTTTAATTTTCAGTTTCTTTGATAGCTTAGAGTTTTATTTGCAAGTTTGGTTATAGCTGAACCAGATAAAAATATCTTAGTTAGCATGCTACATTTGAAATTTTGAGAAAAATTTGTCAATTTGGAGAACTCCACTTGGTAATCAATGCTGAATCAATAGTAGTTTGTGCTTGGCTTTGGTCATTCTGGAAATGCATGCGATATATTTCATGAATAGCTGCAAAGGATCACTTGTACTGATTTTCACCTTTTTTGACAAAGACAAAACAACATTAATGCAGCAATAAATAAATTATAAGAAATCAAGGCAAAAATGTGTCATGATTCTGGCCTGTCTGCTTTGTTTTCCTCCTCAGCTTTCACCTCCCCAATCAAGTTCTTACGGTTCACCAGTTACTCAATTATAATTACTTGAGTAACTTTTTTTTGAAAATTTACTTTTAGGAGTATTTTTATTATTCTGTACGTTTTGTTTTTGCTTAAGCAATTTTATCACAAAGTGTTTCTACTCTTACTTGAGTAAAATTTCTGGATTTTCTACTGTAAATGAAAAACAAATATGTTTCAACCACAAATTCACCAAACTCCTGCAGTTTGTGTTAAAGTTTCATAAGTTTTTTTTTTAATTGAAATAATTTGATTTGTTTTTGTAACTTATATGAATTGTCATTTTAGTCCATAAAATACCCAAATTTCCACTTAACTTTATATTTTGGTCCATCTGATGATGTAATTTTTAAATGATTGTTTATTTGATCAGTTGCTCAGTTCTTGAGTTGACTTTTTAACCAAATACTTTTTACACTTTCTTGGGTGAAGTGTTTGGGTCCTCTGCCAACCTCTCCTTAAAATCTTGCTGAAAAATTACTTAAAAGTTAATTTTGCTTTATTTCAAGTATACTAAAATATCGCCACTAGAAACTAGATTAAAATACTTGGTAAGATTTTGTGAATTTGCTGTATTTATACTGCGTTGACGTAAAATTATTTGTAAATGTGTGTGTGGGCGCATGTGTGTGTGTTGACTTTGCAGCAACAAGCCGTGGCTAGAAGTTAGCTTTAATTACAAACCACACATTTTTCAGACAGAACGAACGAACAAGCCCAGGCCACTGCTTGGATTACACCTGTAACATTTCACTACCCCCCACTCGTTTTAAACAACTTAAAACCAAATAAATATAAATCCACCCAAACCCAACACAGCAAGGACTAAAGGCAGCTTTCCGAGTCTATATCTGATACAGATAAGAGTCAGCTCTATCAGGGGAATAAAAACTAAATCTTTTACTCTGCTGAGTGGATTAGGTGTGGATTCAGCGCACACCCTGGTTTATCCACTGCGCACAATATAGCTGTTTAACATCACAATACCAGCAGGGCACACAAGCTCCTTATAAAGAGCCTCTTTACTGAGTGAGTGTGTGAGTGTGTGTTGGCCAAACCGGTTGGACCACGTCAAGACACCAGAATGAAGAAATGGAGAACTAGTTTGACCGGGAATGACTTTAAAGCGAAAGAAAAAATAAATAATAAAAGTCAGGCGTTACCGGCGGGCTACTAAGTTCAGGTGTTTTATCGCTTATGTCAGCGAGAAGCAGCGTTTTTTGTTTGTTTTGAACAAGTTTCCTTTATCTTTGAGTGACCAGTTGTTGCGGAGACATTTCGGTGTCCCAGTTTGGAGGAAGGACAGACGCACACACACATCTGTAACAACACACACACACGCACACACTCCGACACAGCGACACAAGCTGCGCCTGTCACCATGCCTGTGCGACAGAAAGGTAACTCAGCTCTTCTTTTATTAAATATCCTCCCGTTTTATTATTATCTTACAGCTCAGCTTGTGTTTATTCCAAACAAATCGCCTTTAGCGCTCGGAAAATGTCACGTTGGTCGGATCCTCTTTCCGCCGGCGCACAAACTTTTCTGAAACACCCGCAGTTAATGATTTAATGATTTAATTGTTCACTGCTCTGATATGTGAAGTACATAGAAGCTATTTGACTTTAGGAGTTCACGCTGACGATTCCAATGCACAGATATATATGAGTAATAAAGGTTTAGCCGACAAAAAATGTTGTTATGGTCGCGTCATGTGCCACTCTTATCATGTAGAAGAGTGCAGGTTTGAGTTGTAATCAAGAGTAAATGGCACCAACAAGAAATCCTATATGGTGGGCTGGTTGTTCGATGTCCCTTGTGCAGACATATTAATGGAAAGTTGAGTGGAAGAAAAAAGTAGGGCAGAGAAAATATCACAAGCACCAAACATGACTTTTGGTGTTTTCAATCAAAGTAAATTTAGAGATTTGTAATCCACATTGCTCAATGTTTGATGATTGGGAGAGTCCACTGTGTTTTATAAAGTCCAAAAACTGAAAATAAAATTTTAGATGTTGCTTTATGAATATTCTAATTTCATTCTCCAGCAGGACTTCGCAACTAACCACTATTCCAAACGTTTCAATTCCTGGACTAACTGATCAACAATTCAATTAAATTTTGGTAAAAGGAAGATGAAAAAAATAAATTTTCTTGACTAAGTCTAATAATTTTACAATTTTCTGAGAAACTGAAGTTTTGGTTCTATTACCAAAGTTATCAGAAGTCAAATATTTGAAATATATTTCTCTTTGTGAAACAAATCTATGTATATGTTTTATTTTTTGATTATTACTACTAAATTGAATAAAATTGTCAATGTTATTTTAAATTACTGTGATGCATTTGCATTTCAAGTAAAATTAACCCAGGATACTAAAATGAAGTTTATTTCTAAAGTTGAAAGGTCACACATTTACAGATTTGTATTTGCCAGCTGGACCAGTTGCTTGCAGGAACAGCTTCACATTGACAGAAAGATTTGGAAACACCTCAATAAAAACATTACTGAGGCTGTTCTTGTAAATATAACTTTAAAAACAAGGATAATTTACATCAGTTTGAAACCAATTAAGAAGACTCTTTGTATTATTTAAATTGAATATATCATCAGATTATTTCACCTGTCTTAATCCAATCCAGCTCTTAAATTACAATAATCTACAGTTTTATAAAGGCTTTTAACCCAAAGTGCATAATCTCCTTATTTTACTTTGGATTTTTTTTTGTGTTATTTTGTAATGTTGACGTTAATTGTGACATATTTTATGTATTCTTATAAGATGCACAGCGGGCCCTGGAGCTGCTCCAGCAGTACCGGGTCAAACTGAACCAGAGACAGCAGAACCAGAGTCGGAGCAAACAGGGTTCTGCAGAGGAGGACCGTCAGCTGACGCAGTCTTTGGATCGAGTCATCAATGTCTTCCAAAGTCAACTCTTCAGCGCTCTTCTTGGTAAGAACATTTTGCACAACAAATAGGAGCCAGTATTCCTTTTTAAATCTAAAAATAAGAGTTTTAGACTATGAAATATTCTGACAAATTGTGAAAAAAGCACAAATAAATGGGGAAAAATATGTAAAATGGTGCATTAAGCTCATTTTGGAAAGAAATAAAGGGGAAAATTATTGTAAAAAAAAAAAAACAGAATTTTTGAGATTAAGTTTTTGAGTTTGAAAAGTTTAAAACTGGCTCAAAGAAAAAAACGCAGACATGTTCAGATTGTCAAAAATCTTCTCGACAAAATAAATTAGTAAATTTCCACCAAAAAATTCTGAAATTTTGAGATTAATATCAGAAGTTTTCTAGAAAAAAATAAGAAAACTTGTCAGATTGAAAAGTTGAGAAATAATTTTTTTGGGCAGAAATTTAATTTGCTTATTTTATTATCTATCTACTATCTCCATCAAAAATATGTGTATCTTAATGATATATTGTTTTATCGATACTAACATATTTTTACTCTCATCAAAAATAACACCAGTTAGCATTAAATTACAGCGTTGCAGCAAAGTTATTTTCTGTACATTAGTTCTAACGTTTAGCAAACAGCATCTGTTTACATGAAAATATTTGATTTAAAGTTGCATCATGATAATGGAAAATGTTTTGTAGTTTAATTCTGTAATTCCTTTATTGAACACAATGATTTATTGCAAAGTATTCATATGTAGCTAAAAAATACTTCTAACATTACAAAAGCTTGATTTAGCATCAATACAGTGTAAAGTTAATCTGTTGGCTATTTATTTCAAATTCAAAAATATTTCATTTGATTTTCATTAATTGGGCTCCCTAATTAATAATTAGATAGCAAAAGATGCTTTTATTTTTTTTGATGCTAAAACTACGTCACTTGAGGAGTTTTGGGTAAAACATATTAAGCAAGGAAGGTTTTTCTTTTTCTAACTGCAAAATGTTTCTATTTTTGCACAGTTCTGGCTTCATTACTGCTTATTTACTAATATGTTCAGCAACTGTCAGTTTTTTAGTCTGTTTGCTCAAGTTAATGAATCAATTGTAAATTAGTTGATAATTAATTCAATTGTTCCAGGCCTAATTTCCAAAGCTTATTTCAAAATCTCCTTCTTCAATTTTTCACAAACCACGAGTTTATTAGACCAACATTACACCAAGAGGGAACCAAACATAAAAAAGTAGAACTTTAGTCATTTTTAAGTGTAAATACAATGCCGTACTATCAGATATACATACTCAAATACATGCAAATACATCACTTGTTTGGTGATTATGAGTCTAGGAAGAAGTATAATGTTTTTCTAAATGTCACAGTTTTCTTTCTCTTCTTTGGCTTTAAAAGTTACCAAACCGTTTGGAGTTTGCTTTGTTGATATGAGTGATCATTTATTACTTAATTGCCTTTGCATGCATACAGGGAGGGGAAGTAAAACCTACAACTTTATTACCTTCTGCTGCATTCATAAAGTGGCCATACTGCAAAAAACAAATCATTACCAGGTGTTTTTGTCTAGTTTGTAGTTAATATCTCATTAGACTTGAAATGAGACAAAATTAACTTAAATGTAACTTTTTAGCAAGATATAGGAGCTTATTTTATTGAATTGGCAAATTATTCCACTCATAACGCAAAACTGTCTTCTGAAATAATTGACTTCTTTCCCAATTTTAAGTAATCATTTACTCAAAACAAGCTCTTATATATTGCTAAAAAGTTATTTGTAAGTTACTTTTTTTCATTTCAAGTGTAATAAGATATTTGCACTAGAAACTAGACCAGAAATACTTGGCAAATGTTGTGTTTTTGAAGTGTAGTAGTTTTAATAAGTGGAAGCTGTTTTAACTTTTCCTTTGAAGGAATGAAAACGTGAAAACTTGTTGCAGTACTCAATCTGTACACATGAGGGCCTCAGTGCACAAGCTATCTCTGTTTGGCTAGCAGCGTAAATGTTGAGATTATTTTATTTTAATCAAATCTCAGTAGCTATCTTCTGAAGGACAATTTGATTTACAGATACTTCATAGTTCATTTTATTTATTGGGTTTTTTTATATTTAACAGTGTTAAATGTTCAATAGAATTTAAAGTTTAGGGATTTTGATTTTTGGTGTTCCTTCATAATTAACATTATGCTACTTGAAAATGGTCTCGAAACAACAATATTATAATTTATCGCAATAACTTCTGGGACAATTTATCATATAGAAATGTTTGTCATTGTGACAGGCATATTTGCACATACATGGTTCTCTGTTTTGTATTCTGATGTTGCAGGAATTGCTTACAACAAAAGAAAACATTATTCATTTGCGTCCCTACAAATATTTAGAAGCATCTACATATTTGCTTTTCACTCAGTAGGTAGAAAATCCAGAAAGTTTATTCAAGTAAAAATAAAAGTAGTAATACTTCATAATTAAATTACTCAAGTAAAAGTGTAAAGCACAGCACAGTAAAAGTACATTTTTTTTTAAAAAGTTACTCAAGTAAATGTAACTAGTTACAACTCTGATGCTTTCACAGTAAAATAATTGCCACTCTTATCTTAAAACTTGTTACCTTTATTGCATAGTGTATCCACTTTTGGGCCCTAACCCCACAGTGAGTGATCATATGTAAAGTATTTGAGGCTGGAGGAGTAATAGCACAAATCCTGCTTAAGTTGTGCAGGAATTGAACAGAAGAGAGAACAGCAGCCGTCACTGTCACTAAATCTGACGGAGAACATCATGATTGCAAAGAGGCTTGTAAGAAGGAGCAGCGAAGGTGAGGAAGCTAAAGCAGCTTGGCCATAAAGCTCAGTATGACATTTGCTAATTGAAAGGTGAGTGATTAGCAGATGTGATCTGGCTTTGACTTTGTTCATTCTCTAAGAAGGGAAGGACTCTGTACTTTCTTTTGTAGCCAGTTTGAAATAAAACAATGGTGTTTCCCTCAGTGTTTTACAAGCCTGGCGATCATAATGTAAGTTTGAACAAATATGTAAAAAAAAATGTGCAAAAGTCTTCCAATAACATAAGTACCAAGTGATATGTTCGAATTTCCTGTCAACTTTAAACATTGTTTTACTCAAAAACATGTTTGGCTGCTGCAAAACAGCAAAAACACTGAGGAAATCAAGTAGGAGGTTAGCATCAGTCCAGCAGCTTCTGCCCCAATACATTGAATAAAACACAATAAATAACCCTAAACAAACTTGCTAACAAGGAGTTAGCAACTGTTAGCAGCAGTTAATATTTGTGAAAATAAACATGGGTAAAAAGTGCAGCATTAATTATAACAGTTAAAAACTTAAACAAAACGTCTGCAAAGTCTGGAGAAACAGCTGCACGATCAAGTAAAATCATTTCAAAGAATATTACACAAATTTGGACAAATTTCACATCTATAATATTGTTAAAATAAAACTGGTACACACCGACTAACGTCTTTGATGTGTATAATTTTGGCACTCATCAGAATATAATGTGTGTTCAGTTGTTGACTGTCTGGTGTTTTCTTTGTAATTTTGTAGTTTTCTCTTTTCATTATGTAAAACACTTTGAAGCTCCCTGCTGCTGAAATGTGCTGTAACCCCTGGTGTTTATTATTCTAATTATGATTACTTCTTATGAACTGTTTATTGATTCTTTAGTCATTGTTTAAAGCTCTAATGTCTCCACAGATATACAGGAGTACTATGAGGTGACAATCCTGCAGGACAGTCAATGTTCTGAGAAACTTCCAGCTCCAGCAGAACAATCACCAGTAAGTCCTTCGAGTCCTCCTGCCTCTGGAGAACCATCCAAACCCAGCAAAACCAAGTCTATTAAATCCACCTCCCTGCCTAACCAAGATGGAGAACCTACAAAAACATCATCTTCTCCTACAAGACAGCCCAGCATACCATCGTCTCACCCCGCCAAAGTAAAGTACCGTGCTCCTCCTCCACCAGTCCAACCAGGAAGCTCCAAGTCTGCAGAGCTGGTTATTTCCAAACCTTCCTCACCCTCTGCTGCCTCACCTTCCACTGTTACTGTCAGCAGGGTGGAAACTCCCAATGTTCCCACCAAACCATCTCAAAATGGAACCAACTCACATGCGACCGACGCAAAGTCACAGAGTACAACAAACCCAAAAAACCCAGCTGCCTCTAAAGACCTGAACCTGGTGACTGTCTCTGCGCTTGTCTCCAGCACCATCCAGGGTCTCGTACCACCAACCACTCCAGATAAAGCTACTCCAACTAGCATCACTTCAACCACCAGTCCTGGTCTAAATACCGGCTCGGGCGCTGGTGTTTTTGCAGCCGCTTCCATCAATAAAGATCCAGAAACGAGCGTCATCAATGCAAAGAAAAGTCCAACGAGCCCCAGCCATGGAAAATTCACACTCGAGAGCAAAAGTCCAACGAGTCCGACAGCAAAGCAAAGCAAAGGACTTCCTCTTAGGTATGCTAGCACTCTTTAAGCAGTGGTAGTAATACATTTGTTGACAGTTTTTTGATGAGTTGTAGGACACATTTAGCAATGAGAAACAGTCGTTCAAGATGTAATATTACTAGGGCTGTGGTAAACGATTACTTTGGTAATTGAGTAATCAATCAATTATCCTGTCAATTAATTAAGTAATCAAATGGAAAACTGTCCTATTCTGTCCTAATTACTTAATCTAGTCGATCACGTAAACCTTTTGTGTGTGAGTGGCTTCAAAAAACACAAAAACAAAGGAAATAACTTCAGTATGTTTCAGATAGTTCCATAAAAGCATGATGCAGTTCCTCTTAAATTAAAAATCTGTTTTTAATTTTAGTTTTTTATCATTTTGTTAGTTTTAATTCACTTTGAAAACCTTGGTGAATTCATGCGCTGACATTTCTTTCTTCTTTCTGTTCCCAGTCCAACCAGTCCTGGGCAGGTAAAGGCTACCAGCGATAGCCCCGGCTACGGACCGACCCGCTCCAAGTCGCCTGCCGCCCCGCTGGCCACGAACAAGGTAAGCCATTTCTTCATTCTGTCTGTGCGGAAGGAAAGGCGGAGAAAGTAACTCACTGGTGAAGCTTGATGAACGATCTTAGACAGTCGGATTATGATTTGCTTCCAGAAAAACAAAACATTCACATCTTTTTTCAGTTTTCTTTTTCATTTCATTCCTTTGCAAAGTGCTGGCATTTTCATGGCTTGCATTACATTATGTAACATGGCAAGTTTTATCAAATCAATTCATACAATAATATGGTTGCAAAAAAAGGGAAAAATGTTGGAGGATTAATGGAAATAGTGTCGCTGGTTTTGAATTGTTGTTTCTGGAGATTTGGCTTGGGTTTCATTTGTATTTCTTATCTACAGTGTACTTTTATATTATTTTCACAATATCTGTGAAAAGATTTCTGCTCCTGCTGGTCTGAATTGTTGACATTTATGTGCCTCTTAGATTCAGTTCTAAACGAAATGAGAAACTTTTTCTTTTTGTTCCACTATAATAATCTGATATAGTTTCTGAGGATACACAGATTGACCAGCCTTTGTTTTTCCTTTCATCTAAAAATGTCTTCAAATTTTTGAGTGTTTTTTTTTAATCTTTAGAGATTTGTCATGGAAATGATAAGAGGCACTAGACTCAAAAATTGCACATGAACAATAAGTCAAGTTCAGTTGTTGAATTCATGAACTCAAATTATTAATAATAATGTGTGACTAAAAACATACCAGGAAATAACATTGACAAAACTTTGGCTTCTCAAGGAGCCTCAAAATCATTTCTACCAACAAAGTTGAAAGTAGAGCATCTTTTCTATACTGCTGTCACTGTTCACTCTATCTAAACCCCACTTCTAGCAGAGACCTGACCTGATAAAGCAGTGGAGAGTGGTGTGTGTGTGTGTGTGTGTGTGTGTGTGTGTGTGTGTGTGTGTGTGTGTGTGTGTGTGTGTGTGTGTGTGTGTGTGTGTGGTATCTGAATTTTGCATGCGCTCATGTCTGTGTACATGTCTGTCTGCGAGTGTTTGCCTGTTCATCCATGTGTGTGCACCAGTCTCTTGATGCCGCCTGTTTTCTTTCTTTTCTTTTTTTTTATCTGCTGAGTTTGGTTGGCGTGCGTACGCAGATGTATATTTATATACACAGATAAATCTATTTCTGAGCCGTGTGCTCCTCTGTGAGGTCAGAATGGGGAAACCGGCTGCCATTAACCGAAGACGGCAGCTGGGAAACCAGAGAGCGGGTGGAGATGCTACGCCATGGTTGCCATGTTTCCGAGGGGGCCTTTGATTTAGCTGACCACTTTGACAAAAGGACGGGTGGAGAAACGGGGTCAGGAGAAACTGAGGGATAAAAAAAACAAAGACAAAGAGCAACAAATAGCTGCCAGGATGAGGATGTTGGTCCTGGGAGATGATTTGGTGAAAGTTAGCCAAGCAGACTGGTGAGGATGGACTGCATCTGCATCCTCACTACGAAGGTGAGACACCAACTTTCAAACCAGGCGATGACTTGAATTTATCCAACGATTGCAAAACTTACAGTCGTCTTATCTAAGAATATATTGAAGTATTTTTGCAAATATCTTCGTACACTTTTAAACTTTTCGACAAGATGTAGAGGCTTGTTTTAAGTAAATTTAAAAAAGTATATTTACTTAAAACAAGCCTCTATTTCTTTTAAAAAGTAAATTTTATGTTTGTCTTATTTCAAGTGTAGAACCTAGACCAAATTATTTGGTGAGGTTTTGTGTTTTTAACTGTGTCATAGCAAATACACAAAGGTTTACCAGAGCAGTCAAATTAGCCCGATATTATTTACTTTTTGCTCTAATTCAGGATGTCAAACTCATTTGTCATTTTGGGCCGAAAATCTGAATGCTCTTAAAGGGCCGGTTGTTATATTGATAAAACCAATTTAACTGTTAACATATCAATAAATAGCTGCTCCTCCAGGATTTTGTGATTGTTTATGCAGATTTTGTGATGGCAATTTAGAAATATTTGTAAGAAATTTTTACAATATTTGCATTAACGTGTGATGTTAAATGTGACTTTATTACTCGCCGGATCATTTACGGACTATAACAAGTAAAGCTGAGGCAGCAGTCACTAAAACTAAATGTCTTTGACCAACTTTGAGAACATTTGCTGTGAAATCAAAAAATAATGTGGAGATTTGTTGATCTGTTTAAACTGAAGGGACTTATTGGTGCAATGCAGAGCCAAGGGGGCCACGTAAAAATCTACGACGCGCCAGATTTGGCCGCTGGGCCTCGAGTTTCACACATATGCTCTAATTTCTATCCTTCTATCTCAAAGAAACAGATTTTGTTGTTAGCGAAGCTAAAGAAAATCTGGAGCTGCTGTTTAGCTGTCAGTTTGAACACATGTGGCTTCCAGAGAGGCGAGAAAGTGGGTTGACGGGACAAACAAAAGACTGCCTGACGGGATGGGAACGCACCAGTTGGCCGATAGGATAGGAAACATTGCAGAAACAGGATGGAAATTAAGCTAATAAGCTAATATATTAGGCATTTATGGAACCTCTTTTATTATTCTTTTGATGATTTATGATGAAATAAACTTAAGATGATGTTGTTGATCATTTTAAAAAGTCAAGAGGAAAATTCGTTAAACTTCTATAAGCCAAGCTTAAAATTTGTAATTAAACTATTTTTGAGAATGTATCAATAACATAAAATATTTTTGCATTAGCAATTAGCATTTTCACACACAAGTTGCATATTTTTTTTAATCTCTTTGGTGCATTGCCATACTGATCCAGCAAGGTTAAAGACAGCGACTTTTGTGACCTTGAAAACCCTGGATTGCTCCACTAAGCCCCCGAACCCATTAATCTTGCCAGTGGACTTTTCCGAACTAACCTGGCGAAAAAGACAGCAGGGATTCCATCTCACATTCATTCGCTTAATCTGGTTTACCTGATTAAGCGAATGGATTAAAATGAGAGGGTGATGGTTGAGGTCAAGATTACTGCAGGAAACTGTCGCGGCTCATTCCTCTGAGTTTACTTCCAACTTTTACACGTTTCTGTTGTAACAGCAAAGTTGTAGCATATAAAAAATATGGTTTTTGTTAAAACTGTCAGCATGTCGTGTTATGAGACGAATAATCTGAAAAGACTGATGTAATCCAACTCAACTCACTTCTGCTATTGCTGTCTGGAGAAATGCACCACTGCCCAAAAACAACCAATCAGAGTGAGGAGGCGGGGCTTGATGCTGTCAATCAATCTCATAGAGTTGGTGATAAACGTGCTAAAGGCACAGAAACAAATCACCATTACAGAAAATTCATTTATCTGTCGTCATCAGTGGGTATGCTAACTAGCCATAACGTTCACAACAGGCTACGCTAGCTGCAGGAGGGCGATTGGCAGCTCTAAGAGCCGCCTCCTGGCTCTGATTGGTAGTTTATAGTTAGCTCTGGTAGAAGGCAGAAGACCCACAAACCAGTTTTCAGCTAACTATTGCTAAATCCTGGCTGTTGTTCAACTCAGCACTGTAAAAACACAAAACCTTACCAACTAATTTTGGTCTCGTTTTTAGTGCAAATATTATATTACACTTGAAATAAGACAAAACTGACTTAAAATCAACCTTTCAGTTAGATATAGGAGCTAAGTATGTAATTCCTTTATATTGACTAAAAAATTACTAATTCCAATGGCAGATTATTTCACTTAAAACATAGAAAAATTTAATCGATATTACGGAGTTATTCCCTTGAAAGAAGGTCTTATATCTTACTGAAAAGTTAGGCCAGAAATGATCAACTTTTCTGTTTTTGCAGTGAATATTTTTTGATTTTGTCCATACAATATTTGGTATTTGACTCATTCTCAGTAAGTATTCTTTCTTTCCCTCTTTGATTTAGCGAGGCTTAAATGCAGCTCTGGTTTTATCTGTAATTGCTGTTTGGCATTATTCATCAGGAGTGCTGGAGTTCCTCCTAAGAGGCTTACCTTAGGCTCCTAATAGACTTTACGAAGGTGGAGCTATTTTAGGACGGACAAAAGGCGAAAAGCAAAAAATAGAGACAAGTGCAGTCTGACTTTTTCTGCATGACGTTGCTGTGTACTCAGTTTTATTTGGCTTTTTTAAACTTTGTTTCACCAAAAACTGGTGACACTACAGCTGACCTTTTATCCGGCTGGCGTTGTGATGGGACTTGGAGGAGGCGAATCGATCAACTCATGATTTAATGGGGGACGGATCCTCCAAACGAGATGGAAACAAGAGATCTGGTTCTGGAGTCGGACTAACAAAGGAATGTAAGACTTTGTTTACCTTGATCTACACAAACTTGAGAGAGAAAAATGAAAAGTCTTTAAGGATTTGTGAAATAAAGAAAAAAACTGGGACGAGAATGTGGATTTCCCTGCTGGTCCAGGATGCATGAGCGCTACTTTTAAAGATGGATTACAGCAACTCTACTTCTTCAGACAATGTAACGTGTTTATTTGGTTTAAAATTTTAATTTAGTCCTTTTATTTTTTAGTTTTTAGAATAAAGCTGATGAAAAAATGTGAAATTTCATGCATTGTGCTTTTTAAATTTAGCTTTAAATGAGTTGATTTTACATAAAGCATGTCAGGATTGTTCCTGTTTTTGCAGTGACTCAGTCAGATTCAGTTCAAATGAGGAGACATCAACGACTTATGTCCTCAAACAAAATGACACATTTTGGGGCATCAAAGTACAGAATCCTATCCAGTTTTTTGGGAACTGTGTCAGAGGTTGTGTAGTAACAGCTGAGTAACTGAAGCGGATTAGTCGGTGCGGAAGTTGTGGATTCACTGAGCTTAGCGCCCACAGTTAGCGCCTCGCTAACTGCTTCAGAGAAACCACACGCTGCATATGATTTGCAATCTAATGTTACAATTATAAATATAAAGTTAAGTGGACATTTTGGCATTTTAAGGACAAAAGTGACAATAATTCTTATAAACAACAAAAAAATAACAAAATTAGGCAAAAATTATTTGTTTCCA